GGCTACCGCTCGCCTTCACGGGCTGCCCGGCGGCACCCGAGGCGACCTCCATTTCTGCGAGCCACTCCTGGGAGGCTTCGCAGCGTCGGATGAGGCGGTTCCTCTGGGTCCGGCGGAACGCGAAGGAAGGGGAACCAGGAGTCACGTTCGATGGAAGGCGATCCATGGAGGGAGGTAGTCGGGGTGCCCATCCAGTCACTTGGGGACTAAACACCACCCCATCTTGTGACTGCTGGAGCCATTTCTTTTGTGGAGACGTCCTTCTTAGAAGCGAAGAAGCGCGAAGACCCAAACGAAACCTCTTCGCACACGGACTTCGCCGCACCCGCGTCGCACCCTGACATTGAAAAAACATCCCCATCCTCAAGCCGCTCGACATTGGCATAGAACAACCTGAGTGAGTGGCACCATGATTTTGCTTCCGCAGAATCACCCCCCAACCTCACCGAAACTGGGCCCTGAGCTTTTTTCTCGACACCTTTTTGAGGGTGGGCACCAAAAATGCAGAAACGACTTCTGTACTACATCTTAATATTGGAAGGGAAAATGCCAAGAACGCATGTTGATCTCCATGCAAAACAACTTCTACTACGGGAAAGCGAGGACAGTCGCCCTGTCGACTCTGCAACCTAATGTCCTAGCTAGTGATAATGATAATAGGACTTCTAAGCGAGGCTGTGTACTTCTGACATCAGTTGTTGGAGATAGCCTGTTTTAAAAAGATTCACTATCTTCTATGCTAGCCTAAGCTGTCTAAATATATATTTATATATATGCTAGCCCCCCCGGGACCTACCTTTTATGTGTTTGACCAGATGTGGACCAGAGTTTTTTGCACGATAGTCTGAGCTCCAAAAATGAAATATATGCATACATATTTATATTGTTTTAAGATTAATCAACAGTCAATTTCAATTTAATCCTTAGAAGCAAAATTAATTACAAATATATTTATATAATATTTCTATATAGTTTTTACTTAAAACTAATTTTTGATTAAATTTTAAAAACAATTCTATACGTTTTTATGATCTTAATTTTATTTATTATGTAAAGAATCAGGAAATATGGAACGATTTAAATCTCTAAATACCTAAAATTCATGTCAAACAAATTAAATTATAGAAATAAACATAAGACAATCAATCATAAAATCGATAAACCATATTTATGGTTCCTTATTTATAATTCAACAAATGCCATAAAACCATAATTATCCATTAATATATGTTTATACGGTTTAATCAAAAATGAATTTCAATTTAATTATTACTACCATTATTTGCATAAAAAATAAATATTTATATATATTTTTTTTAATTGGGTGTTAACTCAAATTGTTTTATAATTAAATAACATACAAAACCAATAATTATTATGAATTTGATTTCTTTCAGAAGAACAAATTATTTCATATCATGAAAATTGTTTAATTGTATTGTTTGAAAATTATGAACAACATACATCTACAAAGGCCTAAAAATCATGCCAACAATTTTATCCCGGGGGGGTACCATATATATATTATATATACATGTGTGTGTTCTACAAAATGTAAAAAATACCAATATATTAAATGATTTAGCAATATATTATTACATTATTACTTACATTATTATTAGTTATCATATGTTATATATCATTATTCTAAAACGATTCTATAATATAGTTATATATATACCCTGAGGATCGAAAGTTAGCTCTATATGCTAACATTTGGGGTTGTGTCTTCTGGGGCTCTCCGACCTCACCCTGTGAGGTCCGACCTCAAAAAACGAGATCATACCAGACCCAAAAACCACAAAACCACAGAACCCAAAAACCACAAAACCAACGATCCCAAATTCAAATTCGTCACGGGTTGTCACGCTGGAGTCCGACAATGACCTCATGTTTAAAGGGACAAAATAGACCAATCACGGTCTGTCACGGTTCGTCACGCCCTGGTATGCTTGGTTCTTGGGATTTCATGGTCTTATCCTCCGACAATGATCTGGAATTGTATCTACATTTCAGGTACCCCAATCTGTGATTCGACAACGTCTTCAAATAACACGATCAATAGAAACGTATGCATATCCTGAGATCATTTCTATTTGTGACCTATGTGTGGTCATGGATCGTCAGGGATATATTATTTGATTCTGTATTTGATACATCGGTTCATCTCTCTATCACTCACCCCAACCTCCGTGCTGCCCAGCGACGGCCCCTCCAAGCGGAAGGCCACAACGCCCAAGCGCTGACGCACCTCATGGTGAGCCTGGCAACCCAAAAGCCAAACTGCCGGTGGCATCAGTGGCATCGGACAAAAGAAGAACCCAATACACTCAATAAAACACCATTCCATGGCCAGACCTGATAAAGCAAACATCAACGTAACATCCTCCCAGCTCGCTTGCTCCGAATGCCGGGTCCCGCCCAGTCGTGAGAAATGGGGAGCAGAATGAAGTGGATCTCTGCAGACGATCCATCGATTTCCCGATCCAGGACCCCCCAGAAACGCCCGAGGTCTCCCGGAAAATTTTGTGCACGGCCATTGTGAAAGGCTCTGCCAAACGAGATCATTAGATCCTTGTAAACGAATGACAGCCCAGTGATTGTCCTCTACAACCGTGAGGGAAGTCTTCAAGTGCCCTGTTACTGCGTATGTTCTGCCCAAATTCGTTCTGAACACCCTTTTTCGACAGCGTTTGAAGGATCGGAGTTAAAATCGGTTCCACCCAAGCTGGTTGCACAGCACCTAAATCGTCACAAATGGACCCTTGGAAGATTATGTTATGCTCCTTGACAAAGCAGCGCTTTTCAGTGTCCATGTTTGTTTTCAGGGCGGCAGGGTACTCCTCTGCAGATTAACGTGGAACTACAAAGCCACCGGGTTGGTCTTCGGAATATGGTCGAAGACACGGGTCAATTGTCAGGATATGTCAGGATCCATGTGGTCCGTCTGCAGGGCACCGATGATCTCCAAACACCCCAGCCACCACTCCTTTCAACCCCTGTTGGTGTCGAGTGTTGCCTTGACCGCCATCCACCTCGGGCGCTGCAGTGGTGTTGCGGGTGATATTATTTTGTTCACAAGGAGTGGGAATCGCTCCAAAATCTCCAGTCTTCAAAGACATTCTTAGATTCTAGGTATCAAGATTGGAGCATAGGTTTCAGAACAAGGATTCTCATAGGTTCCAGCATCTGGAGATCGTTTCAGAACAAGCAAGCCTCTCAAGATCGGAAACTCCTTCGATGACATGGATGGTCCCAATGCGAACCAGCACAACTCCACAAAAATCATCAAACATCATTATGGAAAAGCGTCTTTCACCACGAACAACGTGTTTCGTGTTTCTTTTTTGTCCGAAAACATCCGAAAACGTCCCTCCCTCCCTACCAAAACGGCCCTGCGTCGTGTCTGGCCCCTGCGTGATAAATGGGCAGCCCCTAGAGAACACTCGTTGTGGGCTCTCGTGGCCGGGGGTGAAGATGGAGATTTGGACCCTGAACAACCATGACAGGTGGATGGTTCTGAGTTGCAAGTCAGTCACCCCCTCCCCTCAAAAAGCGATCTGAACTCAGGAAGGCCCCATTTATTGGTTCTGGCATAGTTTTGGCACATGGATGACCCTGTCATGATCTGTCATGACTCCGGGATGTCGGCATGGGCGCCTGCCGCGCTCCTCGCAAAAGCCCAGCCGTGCGATTGGTGGGTCAGCGACCTCGCCAAAGCAATAGCCGGACGTCTGCGGCAATGATGTCAGTCATAGTAATAGTCTTCGTTTGAATTGGGCATCCTCTTCATATGGTGGGTTTATCATACATGTTCTACGTGGGGATCCACTTTTCTATTTTTCTTAGTTTAGACTCATTCATTTTTCAATTATGTAGACTCTTGATTAACAACCCCCCATATGAAAAGGTCGTTCAATTCAAATGAGGGTAGTAATTTATCAATAGTCTACATTAAACTATATTAGTCATATTATCCATACATTATTTGTCATTTGTCCTGTGTGATCTTTCTGTGAGTTATGAATCAAAAATACACACAAACACACACACACACACTCTCTTTCTCTGTCTCTCTCTCTCTATATATATATATATACATCTTTCTCTGCCTCTCTCTCCCTCTCTCTCTCTCTCCCCATGGTCTTCAGACCAAAGTCTGCCCCAGGTGAATCTCAAGGACGGAAGCGGTGCGTCCTTCCCAATCACGGCGTGCCTCTTCGGACGTTGGGAGGACGTCGGAGTGTGAAAGACCGGTCCAACTTAAAACAAACTGAGGTTCTCAACCATCCCATCTGTTCCATCATGGGACAACTGGTGACTGTTGCATATGTTTACAATATAATGATTCCACTCACTGCAGGACTCTGAAACTGCTCCCATTCCAAACAACAGCTGTCGGTGCACAACGCCTGATAGAGGACCATCAGCAACGACACCGTGACCGCTCCAAGGATGCCCCTCGGTTGGAGGGCGGACATCTTCCCAGTGACGAGCCAGTGGCTGTGCGTCCTACTTAAAAAATAGGAATTAGACCAATTCAGTTCATATTCTTTGAGATGGACTCAAGATTTGATGCACAAAATGGATTCCACGTTTTGCACACCTGATGGTGGGGTTCCAACTGTGCCAGGATCTTCATCCAGTCACTTGAAGGCTCCGAAGACAATGGTGAAGAGAAAGGCCACCCACCACACCTCAGCTGGAACATGCTCTTTCGGAGACACAGCATCGGATTCAAACAAGATTATTGCTTCAACTGTGGGAGCAATGTGTAATTCCATTTCTCGGAGTGCACCACGTTGCACACTCAGTAGAAGTCAAGTGCATCCAGCTGAGGATAACATCGGATGCCTTCTGTACATGTAGACGTTCAGGATGGGACATGCACATGCCTGCGCTCCTTTTTCTGTCCGAAGGAGCCATTTGGGTTTGTCTCAAGAATACAGGGAACTCCAATTAACCATCGTTTATGCAAACCAGGATGTCAATGTTCACCACTGGCATGTTCTCCATATTCTGAGACATCCCCAATTGCTCAAGCTGTCCAAATGGGGCGGACCTCCAACTCTCTGGAAAGCAGCACCTTAGAGCGAGCATGCTCTGACTCAAAACACTTTGCCCACACTGAAAACCGGGGGGAAGTGTGCTCAGCAAGTCAAAATTGGTCTCAACATGACCGTGCGCATTCATCCTCCTTCACTGTCCATCCGCCCTAATTGATCTGAGATGAACAAACCAAATATTAAACACATTGCATGCCGGTAGCGTGTGCTGCGAAGAAGTGTCTCATATCATCTACCTCTCTCAGTCTCGGTCAAGTTTAGACTCCAGCTCTATCTTGGAGACATCTCAGTTTCAATAAGTTTCCCCACATACATCCACATACCACAGCCACATACCACCTTCTCCCAGCATCGTCCGCACAAACGCGGCCAGTCGACGTCCAGGACTCGGCGTGCCAAACGGCTCAGCGATTCGATCGGCTCCAGCGGTTTGACGGGCCCCGTGGACCGTTGGCGTCGTCGCCACGTGGTCGGCCGGAGTAGCCGCGGCCTTGGTGCCGTCTGAAGCGGGAGAACTAGCTGTGCATGTCACTCACGTGAGTAGGGTGGGTGGAAGCACCGCACCTCCAAAAACGGGCGTAGTTTGCAAGAGTTTATGTTGGACTACATTATGCATGATGTATAATATATATATATATAAGAACTTTGATGAGTTTAATTCATAGCGGAACTCCAGAGGTAGTTGTTCCTGTTCCATGCTTTCTGCCGCTTTCTGCTAAAAAGTCCAGTTTCTTGAAAACTCACCACGTGACTGATTGAACATCAGCACATATCAAAACATACGTAAAGTTGCCATGGTGGCCTCAGTGGTGCAAAGAAACCCAACACAAAGCCAAAGCGGCCAACATTCATCTTAAACAGATGCATGATATCCTCAACTTACAGTAAACAGCATACATGCAGGAACCCAAGCCACTCAACCGCGCAAACAGCAACATTCAAAGAAGACCATCCGATGCTTCCGCCGACATTCAGAATTGTTCCTCTCACGAACTCAGTGCTTCTTTTACGCCATTATATATATATACAGTATAGACTGCGGACTTCCATTGGTTTGAGGACACCAAGATCAAGCCGTGCCCTAAGCCGCAGGCCCCAGGGCTCCGACGACCACTGCGATGACCACTGGTCGGATGACCACTCGTCCTTGGTCCGAATTGTTTGCCCGAAAGAACTCAGTTCGTTGCCTATGTGCGTGAGTGGCATCATGAAAAGTTCAGTAGTATATGTTATTTTTAATACCCTCCGCGACCCTCCGTTGTGATTGTGAAGCCTCTTCATATGGAATGTGATTGTTTCTTTTTATTCATCAGCCGTCTGCATCAGGATAACGCTATTTAAGTTGCCATTGTGCAAACAATAGAGCCACGTCTCCCAAGCTTCTGCTGGGCGATGCTCCGACTGCCTGCTCGGAGTTCGAAGTGAACAGTGAGTCTCCGTTCTTCGAGCTGGAAGATTGACATGGACCCCCAAACCCACTGGGGTGTATACAGGCATACACGGAAATAGTCTTCCAAGGTCCATGCCATCAGATCATCAGGTTCCATGTGGGTCTCTTCCCAAGTGTGCGAGCTGATCAATCAAAAGACCCAAGGAGCAAAAAGTCGATGAACATCGCCGGACAAACTCGCCGGGCCTGTGATCCTTTGTCCAATCTTTCTTTACCTGTTGGATCCTTTTAGGAGTCAGTTCATCTCGCCATCCTGGAGATATTCCATGATGGCAAATCTGCCACTGAATATATATGGACATGACTCCTCTGTGCATCTCCGTGCGATCTGTACACTGTAGACAAATCCACTGTAGATTTAGTACGTCTCATGACCATATATGACCTCAAATAGGTTCAGAACGAAAATGAACAACATATTGCTTGACCGTATATAATCATATGCGGTGTCCATGTAGGAATCCTTTCCTGGTAGGCGGACTTGTCTGTTCCCAAACAACTGTTTCTTGAACATTTCTGACATTCCATGTATCCAATTGCAAGAAGCGCTCCCACATTCCTGAATCCTTTGGAAGGACCAACGCTTAAAGGATAGTTTGGATGGTATGACGATAAGGCAACACACATCAACAAAGAAGTGTTAAAGCTGTTTTTTTGTATCTTTTGCATTGTGTTTCTTCAAAGGCTTTCATCCAAATCCCTTTCCCCCCAGCCTTGCCTTCGGCCTGTCGGATGACCCCGCTGGGTGTCGCTCGCATCCACCGCCGGCTTCGGTGGACCCACCTGAAAGGGCCCGGTGCGATCCAGGTGATCCTCCGTGCTGTGTCACTTGCCGAGCATTTGTAGAAATGGTACCCAAACACGGGACTGCCATATGTGCCCATTGACACCCAGTCAACCACCCCTGGCCGTTTCTCGGCAGTCCGCACTGGCAGTCCCATTAGTCGTGTCTGGGCTATAGAATGCCTGTCAAAGGATAAAATCTCTATAAACTGACGGCGAAGGTGACGTTCATTTCAATGACTTCGGACGGGCCGAGAGTCTGAAAGGCGTCTGAAAGGCTTATGCAAGAAGAAAGGCGAAGAAGGAAAGACTTCATGGAGCGTTGAAGATTCTTGGGTATCGTGTACATTCATGTCAAGGACATCTCCTGTTTCAAGGCCATCTTGGCCATCCTGAAAGGACAGGCCATCCGTAGTGGAAAGAACCTGAAACAGTTCATCCACCTATATATATTTATATATTTATATATTTGTTTTGTTCTTCAAGCAGGTTGCACTCCGTGCGGGATGGTCCTTCCCCGCGGGTATAATGGGTTTTGCCAGATCTGAGCAGTACATGTTGGCAGAAAGATCCATGCAAGAGCGTCCTTTTCGGACCCTATCGGCCCCAAGTGCCTTGAAACTGGACGAATGCCTGGGGCCTAGCCTCCAAATGTCTGTTCTCGTCACCTTCCCCAGTTCCATCCCAAAGTGGATCAAACAAGGCGCAGCTTGTCTATCAAAAGCCTGAAAAGCACTTGAGCAGGACTGAGACCTAACCTGAAATCCTGAAAATCCAAACCCCAGTTCATCCTCAGCTTGTTTCGAGATACTTTTCCCGCCCTTCTTCCACTTCCTTTCCCCGCCGACCTGAGCGAAGCCCTCCTGCTGCGCCGCGAGGCGCTCCGCGCGCTCCGCTTCTAAGGCTTCCTTTGCTTGGCGGCGCTGCAAAATGCTTTGGTGCTGCTTCTGCAGCTGGCCTGAGCTTCATGATCCGTGTGGTTGGATTCGTGATCCACAAACGAAAAATAGGTAGGTAACAGCCCCGATTGATCTGCCCTCGAGCGGCGGACTTGCTTCAGCAACTCGGGAGGCAAAGCACCCACCGGCGCAACGGTTGCCTCCTTGGGCATCTCCGTTGAAGTTGCCCAAGGTGGAAGCCTCAGCCAATCATACGACCACTCAAACAGCCCCGCATGCCTTCCATCCTCCTCAGATATGCCCAAAACCACTATGATTAGCACAAACCTGAAAATGTTAGATCTTAATTAGTATAAACACCCCCCTAGCAAACAATCCAGGGGGTCTGAACAGTATCACCGCCACAAAAACAACAAGTAGTAGTAGTGGTGGTGGTGGTAGTAGTAGTAGTGGTGGTGGTAGTAGTAGTAGTATGGTAGTAATAGTCATCGTAGTAGTTGTCGTTGTCTTCGTCGTAGTAAAAGCAGTAGTAGGGGTAGGGGCAGCAATAGCAAAGCAATATATAATTATCGCAAAGATTTTCTAGGGCTCCAAGATTGCTTATTAACCCAACCCCCTAAACAATTCGTATTATTCATTTACCCGAGGCTTGTGTACTACCGTACTAACCCCTTGAAAAAATGGTTTGGGGCAATGAAATCGATTAGTTTTAACCAGGGATTGTTTTAAAAAAACGGTTTTCAGGTCAGAGTTCCGTGAATCAAACAAGCCTTAGAAGAGTTAAGCAATCATCTTAAAAGGCAAGAGTAAGAGAGCAATATAGAACTAATTGTAGATGCTTTTTCCAAGGGCTTCAAGTTCGCTTTTAACCCCACCCCCTAAACAATTCGTATTATTCACTTATATATCCGGGGCTTGTGTACTACCCCCCTTAAAAATTGCTTGAGGCAATGAAGTCGATGAGCTTTAAGACGGTGATGTTAAACAGTTGTCAGGTAAGGGTTCCATGAATCAAGCAAAACTCAGTAGTAGTAGTCGTCATCATCGTCGTCGTATTCGTCGTCGTAGTAGTAGTCGTCGTCGTCGTAGTGGTAGTAGTAGTAGTAGTAGCAGGAGTAGTAGTAAGTAGTAGTAGTAGTAGTAGTAGTAGTAGTAGTAGTAGTAGTAGTAGACAAATCAATAATATTTCAAAAACACCCTGGGTGAAAAAGACTTTATATATATCATTCCGTCCCATTAAACTAATCTGGTTGTATGAATAATTTGTCGATTTTTTCCGTCCTATTAAACTAATCAGGTTGTATGAATAATTTGTCGATGTTTTATTCCGTCCCATGAAGCTAATTAGGATGCAACATTACAGGATGCCCCAATGACACTTGCATTATGTATACTCAACGTGGAACCTCCCAGCTCTTGCCAACAAGTTGAGCTCGATTTGAGTTCCACACCTTCAACTGAGCGGTGTCAAAAACCATCCGGAACTTTTATTAAGATTATAAAAACCTTTCGCCAATCCCTTCGCAATGCTTTCGCGGCTGCATGTTTTGCTTTCGCTGACCCACTTCACCCAACAACCTCTTTCGCTAACCCTTTCGCCGAGTTTCTTCTACTTAGATCTAAGAAAAATATCAGAAACGGGAATCATTCCTAATCTGCAACCACTGCTTTCGCCACATCTTCGCGAACCTTTCGCCAACCTTTCGCCTGGTTATCAGGAATCTTTGGATGACATGCTTTGTACTGAAAACCTCTCTCGCCAACCCTTTCGCAATAAAATCCTTTCATCAAAAATTCCCAGCCTTTCTCCAAACCTTTCGCCAAACTTTCCCCAACTGCAGTTTTCCTTTCGCAAAGATTCATAATCTTAAGTCCTACCTAAATTCTGTCATAGAGGTTTATGACGTTGCTCAACTCAGGTTAACACACTGCAAAAATAACTGAAAGCTAAAGCACATACATAATCATACATGCATACACTACATAAATCATCATAAACCAATAATGCACTGTGGAACATGCACAACACAACGTGTGACGCCCACAAGAAACTGTGCCCCTTAAACTCCAAACTGCACTCTAGAAGCAGAAGGGGTCATCATTGGCACATGGCAAATTCATCCAATGGCTGTGGGCCAGTTCGGGGGACCGTTGACCAGCGAACAGAACAACATAGACCTCCAAAGATGGTCAACCTACCACACTTTAGAGGTCCGGGTGCCATGAGCCACAGCCAACTTGACCACGTTCCTTTTCAATGTCTAATTAATACTTCTGGCAATGCTTGGCCGTTGGCCCTAAGGCTACCGTGCAATGCAATCTGCAATGTGAACACCGAGGAATTTAAACAAAGGAAGTGCCGGGAAATGTGGCGTCCCCAAATCTCAGACCTCGCCTTGGTCACAGGCCCTGAAAACAGGGTTCTGGGTCACAAAAAAACATCATTCGGACGAAGGCACCACGTGGGTTAACCTGGAGGGCAGCCGGATGAAAACCAAACAGGTGCTGAACTCCACTTCCATGTTGGTGAGTCAAAGCGTCCAACAGTTTTGTATACACTCCCGAAAACTAACATAGACCCTGACAATGGCCCCCTGGAAGATTGTTTTCTCTACCAACCAGTGGTTTTCAGGGTCCATGTTAGTCTTCCAGGGTGTAGTTTTGTCGTGAAAAAATCTGCCGAAGGAGCAAATCCCATTGGATTGGTGCTCGGCACACCGGGCAGGGCAAGCCAGCTGCATCCACATCTCCAGCCGTGGCCTCGGTGTCGAGTGGACATCGCTTGTGCCCAAGACACCACAGGGCTGCGATTGGCAGCGTTGGTGGTTTCTGGAGCATCGGGTCACTGCGACGGTTGGATTTCAAGTTGGCAGGTTCATGGAGTTCTCCGGCACTGCACCGGTGCCACTCTTTGACGCAGCGAGTGTTTTTCGGACGAGTGAGGTTCACACGCCTGAAAAAGCCATCTACATGCTTATACTACCCGGAAGTGAGTTAGGACTTTACGGCAGCTCCAAAAAAAACAGGATGGACAAATGAGATAGGTAACGAAATAGGGTACAAAAAGAGTGGGCAGATGAGATCCTGCTGGCACATAAAAATTGCAACCGATTTCTTGCGCTATACCGTGGGCGTACCGTAGCCGTCAATGATAGCTTTCAGCCGATGAGATAGGACTATGTGCTGAATGTCAATCAAAAAACTAAATAAAGTATAGTCCATAGCCATGAACGAGCAATGCCCGGCATATGCTGGCATCAGCAAAGCTCTTTCAGCCCATGAGTTAGGTCCTTGTGGCCAAATCTATCATCTCCTGTGGTCTCCGCCAAAAGTAGGCTTTCGGCAAATGCGATAGTCCAACGGATTGCGGGGTGTGTGTTCGAACACTCCCAACTCACCTGGGACTAGTATACTTTATCCCTTAGGGATCCAAGTACCTTCTCAGAAGGTACTTGGACCCACTGGTATGTTTCTCTCTCCCTCCCTCTCTCTCTCCGCTGGTGTTCAGAACTGCTCAGTGGCATGAAGCTCATCTTCGAGCACATGGAGGCGACCTGTGACTTCCGATCGTCTGCTCTCGGCCTTTCGCCGTTTGCTGCCGGTGGACTTCCTCAGCCCCACCCACCAACACAAACATGGATGGAGATCAAAAACGCACACACGCACACACACCCATTCAACAAATACTCCAATATGCGAATGTATTTTCATATCGCGGATGGTGGGCTGTATTGTTCATGTTGGGCTGTTGACCAGGGTGCCCCCGATTACCCACATTATGGAAAAAATCAGGTTGAGCAACCCTGCGAACCCCGCACAAAGACTAGCAGCTATCCTTACTGTGCCAAATCAATAGTCTAGCAACCGTCGGTGTTCACATGTCGACGGCCTGAACACCATGGCCATGCTCGTGCAAATTAGCATGGTCACCTCGGGCCACCCATTTTGTAACAGGACATGTGTACAAAATGACAAATCACCTAGCTTGCAGCACGGTCACCCTCTGAATCCCTACCAGATGGTGCAGCTTATATAATGTGCTCATCTGAAGAAATCAAAAACAGAATCTGATAGGCAACACTCGCCGTGCGAGAAATTACACTAGCAAGCACGCACGCACGCACGCACGCAAGCAAGCAGGCACGACATGTTCACGAAGCATGCTGTAGTGCTGTAGCACGGCACTCCTCTCGATCCTTGCATCCTTGCTCTTCTCAAGCAAAGTTTGGCTTCGGTATACATCCAATGTGCTTTTTTTGCAAACTGAAGGCCCATCAGATCAATGGTTCATCATAATGTTTCTACAAAGTTGTATAATATTCCATTATTATTCCATCATTCAAGGGAAAAGGGATTGCCGAAGTTATGTTTCCACAAAGTGAAAAACGTACAGCTACAGCTTTACACAATGCAAATGTGAAAGGCCCCAGTCGCCACAACAAAAAAAATGACCATAGAATGGTGACCGAATGACCTCAAGTGCCTGTTGGACATCTTTGGCTATTAAAAAACCATGTCTAAGGCAAAACGCATTTTCCCATGCATGAAAGTAGGCCTGTAGTAACGATCCTGGGATCACACATTCGGCAGGGGGAACTTTAACGGGGATCCATGGCCGAAGACTTGGCAAGCAACACTAGCCGCAAGAGCAAGCAAAAGGAGGAAGAGACACACACACACACACACCCTACGATTCCCACCATCGGATTAACAGTCAACTTTACCAAACAACCATTGTTTCAAAAAGGATATCATCTGGGATTGTCTTAATCATGGAGAGGGAATCATGGAGAGGCCAGGCTGTCAAAAAAATGTATCAACAATAAAAAAATATATTATCAACAAAACATATTAGATATCAAAAAACAATTCACAAAGAGCTGCGCCTGGCAGGGCTGCGCGATTTGAATCTTGATGTGCAGATTTCGTGGCAGGCACGGCAATTCGTGCACTGGATGTGCAGATTTTGTGGCACGCGCACCACGTCATAAACCTTGAAGTGCGGACTTCGTGGCAGGCGCAGCGATTTGTAAACCTTGACGTGCACATTTCGTGGCAGGAACAGCGGTTGTGAACCTTTTCAAGACCTGTCTAGATGTCAATGTCAAGACCTCTAATCCTCTGCATGTTTCTAGAATTGTGCACCTCTAGATCTGTCTGGATCTCCACGTGTTTGGACCTTTGTAGATGTAGCATCTCGACCGTGATCTCATTACCTCCAGACTTCTAGGTCTAGATCTCTGTAGATGGATCTCAAAACCTCTCTGAATCTCAAGACCTCTACTACGGTGGAATGGCACCTTCCTCCTCTTCTAAAGTTTACCCTCAGTTGGCTCACAAAAGGCCTCCATTCTCCAAATTCTACCCTCAGGTTGCTCACAAACAAAGGCCTGCTACGTTGGATCGGCAACTTCTTCCTCTAACTCCAAAATCTACCCTCGCAAGGCTAACAAAGGTCTGCTACGTTGGAATGGCTCCTCCCTCTCCTAAATTTTACTATGGGGGTGGCTCACAAAAGGTCTGCCACATCTGGTGACAAAAGGTCCGCTACAGTGCTTCACAGGCTGTATCACGAGGAAATTTCCAAATCACCCTTAACGCGTCTTGCCTCGAAATTAGAGACCCAAGGACCCGAAGACCAGGACCAAAGGACCAAGGGACCAGACGACCAAGGGACCAGAGGACCAAGGGACCAAAGGACCAAGGGACCAGAGAACCAGCGGACCAGGACCAAAGGAGTAGGGGGTAATTTTGATACGAATTAATGTGTTTGCAGAAAGGATAGGAATCATTTGTTGATTGATAGGAATCAAAGTCTTTTTTGATAGGTATCCCTCATGGAGAACCCTGGCGTAACAAATCTGATCTATCTCCAGAACTGCGAGAACCTCCAATTCTTTGGGCCTAGTCTCAAATCGTCTTTGGCCATGGCCAGTTGATCATCGAGACTTGGCTCATCTTCACCAGGATCCTCGATCTCTTCCCCTTCCTCCAGCATCTTTCGCTGACATTCCCGCTTGCCTTCGCCAAAGCCAGCCACAGCATGCCACAGCAATCAATGGGAAAAGAAAAGCGGTCAGTAATGAATTTGTCCAGAAGACCAAGTGAGATGGATACCGGAGGGTTTCTCAGGTTTTATGTCTACAACCCTTCGATGGATTCTTTGGACGGTAGGGGGCCTCTCCAGCTCTACCTGCCGGGGTCCTTACCCTCCTGCAGACTAACATGGGCCCCCAAAACAATTGGGTTGTATAAAGACGCCGCCCACATCTGATCCGAACCAAATCAACACGAAAACATAGCATTGACCCCAATGTAGGCTCTTGATTAATTAGCTCAAGAAATCATTTGGAGCGTAAAACCTCTTCATTTATGGGGAGTGTTAGTAGTCAAAAGGCTACACTACCCCGTCACAATGACCCCACTTTGGTTTGCCTAATGATGGCTTCATGAGACATCAACTCTGCAAGTAAGCTTCTCATGAGCTCAGCCACCAGCTCCTCCTTGGAGTTTCAGATCGGTCCAGCTGTGGGGAAGCTGAGTCGGTGACCATCTGGTTTCACAAACCAAACACGAATGAGTCACGCAAAAGCCACATAACCTGGTCACCTGCGAAACCATCCCTGATAAAATAAACATCATCCCTCTAAGAAGGTGAGATTTCACCACTAAGTTTGGAATCAAAGAAGTCACCTGCGAACAATAACTCCTATATTCCATCTGCATTTCCTGCGTGGTAGTACCACAGGCCCCAAACGAAACATTGTGCAAACATGGGCAAACAGCAATCCCGCTGCCCACCATGCCCGGCGCCGCCCCAGTCATTTGAGCAAGACCGGTGGAAAACATTGCAATACGTACGGCCGACGACCATTCTCCAATTCCTGAAAAAAACAGAAAGACTTGAATCGTCACTATCCTGATGCAGAAATTGCATTGCTAGGTCTCCAATCTGCAGCCTTCTTCCTGCAACTCTACCACCATGGCCTCCAGCTCCGCCACTTCTCGCGCCAAGGCATCCCTTTGAGACCGCACGCTGCTCGTGGAGCTTTCCACCGCCTCAGGCGAAAAAATTATTGGAGGTACGCGCCCACCCTCGGTCGGCTCCGAAGCAGGTGCTTTCTACAGGTGCTTTCTCAGTGGAAGATTTCAGAATGCCAAAGACCATTCCTATCCACCTACTGGGGAGGTGCTGGCATGTCATTGTTTTGTGTATCAGCTGCTGGGAAACCTCACCGAAGGAGTGGTCTACCAATAGAAATAAACGATATACAACAGATAGGAACACTACCAACCACATACATAAGTGCAAGTATGTGCTTTCGTTGACCCAGTGGTTAATGGACCTGGACTCGGTGTCATCATCCCGCCAAAAATAGACCCATGCCCCGGAGACAAAATCTAAACAAAACAATCACCTCATGACATATCATGACAATCCGATGCATAACATCATCCTTCCAATCGATCCTGCGCCTGCAGGGCCTCGGATTTCTTCAGAGCTGCCCAATGCCCCAGGCACTTGGCGTGGTAGACGTGATCGCAGGGAGCATACACCACACTTTGGTCCGTGACCTGGGGCCATCCACGTCCGAGCAAAGTCAGTCGCACCAGTCGCCACTGCGATGGCAGTCGCCGAAACCGGGGAACTGCCATGGTCGCTCCGAACATCTGCTGTTTCATTTCATGGGGGGAAGAGCTGACTGTGCAATTCATTAGGGAATTAGATGCTTGCGGCCACGAACGTCGTTCCTTCGGCTTGTGCAGAAAATGGATCAATGGAGAACTGGATTACCCCCTGGCGTTCACGCCAAAACCATTGAGTTCGCCGAGTTTTTGACCCCCCATGTATCTGAGAATTAGCCGGTCGCCCGCTGGTGTCACGTGTCTTTTTCACACCATCTGTGAAGTTCATCGAATTTCAGGCTGCCCGGCACATCTTAGAACGGATCTTGTTGGCCGTGTTTTCATGTTCAATCTATAGAGTTGTTGGACGTGGCCCCAATCATCCAGCCGAGTCGCATTGCCACATGCCTGCAGGCAAATCAAACACTCGCTTTCATCATTGGCCAAGTCTAAGGCCTCGTTGAGTTCCGCCATTACCTAGGCCAGGGAGCCCCCAAACCATGGAATTGCTGGACATCGCAAAGAGGTTCGACCGATCTAGTATGTTCTATATAGTTGTAATGTTTGGTGGGTGACACAGTGTACTGTATATAAAGGATATGCAGGGCAGTTTGGAGTCTCTTTTCTAGAAAAGCTAGCCTCCGAGCCCCCGTCAGATTCCTCAAACTTTGCTTATCGATTTCCCATACGGGAGGTGTCATGTCCATCTCCAATTAACCGCCCCATGTAATGGTTTCTTGTGGCTCCTGTGGCTGCTTGGTCTATGTGTTGGGAAGACACTTGGAACTTGGTACTCATTCTGTCTTTCTGTCTGTCTGTCTGTCTGTCTGTCTCTGTCTCTGCCTCTATTTCAGTAGCAAGCAAGCTAGAATTATTGCATCTTGAGGTGCAATTCCCCAGCTACATCCTAGGGGATTCCGGGATGAAGTACCCACTGGCTACCAGCAAGTACCAGCATCTTCCACGGTTCATGTTGATCATGCAGACTGGCAAACCGGTTGTTCTATCGCAGCACGTCGTCAAAGCCCCACCTGGCATAAGCAGCCCTCCTCTGAGGAGCCATAGGTCTCCAACGCAGACTTGGCAGCGGAGTTCAAAGCAGAAAGCCCGGCATCGGTGAGACCCCGTGACCTCAACGGTGTCGACCATCGACCACGACGTGACGACATGGAATCCAGGTGAACCATTGGTTCACGGTCAAATTGTGTAGCATATATACATACATTAAATCATTAACTATAATATATGGATTTTCTCTGTCTCTCTCTCTCTCTAATTATCGTCTTCAGCTGCCTCTAATTTCTAAGTCTTCTATCCTTCCAGGTCATTTCCACTTTCGGTTCACCTTTCGGATGTGAAAAGGAATGCAACCTGACTCACCCGAAAACGACGGCTGTTCACTGTGATTCCCGACACGGTTTAACCCGCGCTGAGTGGCTTTTCGATGGTCACGCCCGGCTTCATGGTTGGATAGTTGTCGGGCAAATGAAGAGCAAAGGTGGCAGACACCAGGGCTGTGCCTGCCGGAAAGAAGGCATCCAAAATGCTAAAGACTCCGCAGCAACTGTCTGGACAAGCCAATAGCAAAGGCATCATTGTTATTCGTACAGTATATTATATCGTGCTTTGTTTCACAAAACCTTGGGATACCTTGGGCATATCCCAATAACAGTGGATTTTTCCCGCTTTCCACCCTAGCAGACTGCATGTCGCACTCCAAGATGACTAGTCTGCAACTGCGTAGTCCAAGGCCAAACGTTGAACTACGAATTCGGAAGGCAATCAGAGACCATGACGAATGTTCGAAACGAGCGGAGAGTAGTGTCTAAGTGTGCCAAATGAAAGCTGTTGATATTGGAAAGAGTCCTCCAAGACTTCCAAGTTCCTCGAGTTCCTCAAGTCGAATGGGGTCTCTGTCTGCTTCAATTGTCAATTTCCACATGTGGCACGGCTGTGCCGCACGGTTTGGGTGGTCCATCGAATGCCCTAGGTACCATCCAGCATAAGGAGTCAGAGCGCTTATATAACTCTAAGGCGTCGCTGGCTATTGAAAGGATGGCCAGCCTGCATTTCCAACAATATAAGGCAAAGATTGAACTTCTGAGTCTGTGTGCCGGGAGAGAGGCCTTACCCAGGAGATCAGCTTCAACAAAGAGATCAGCAAGGTCACATCTGGCAATATTATGGGAGGGCCTTAGTTTGCCTGGTGTCATATTTACGGGTGGTTGGCTCTGGGTGCCCAGCATGAAGGCAGTTAGCAAAGGCCTTTCATAAAAATAGTGATAACCCTTTCCCAATTTTGCTGGTAATGGGACACACCTCGCTTGGACCCTCTGCTTCCAAGCCGGAATTTCTGCGCCTTGCCCGACCCGGGGCTGCAAGCTAACCAGGACCAAATCATTTCGCAGCTCTACCGCCTCATCACCATAAATGGCCTCCCGAGGCTGCTTGGAACGAGGAGGCCGAGCATGGCTTGCGTGGCTGCCCCACTCTGTGCGAAAAGCATGTATTCGTGTCGCCCAAATAAGCGACTCTTTTGAGGCTACCCTCCATTCAACTAAACATGGACGTGGAAATAGCCCCTTGGAATACTGGCTTCCTCTGCGTAAAGGCCATGTTCCGCTTCCATGATTGTTGGAGGGAGGAGGGTAGATTATTTTGATGGACTTCGAGCGAAACAAAATGACACAAGAATACAAAACGCATCATCAAAACACTGTCTGAAGAGACCACTTATGGTGGGCTGACTGTTGTGTTCCTAAGTTCCTACATGTTCCTATATCACTCAGTGTCACAGCAACTACAGTAGACTCCCCCCAACCCTGGCACAACATTGCCTTTAGAAGCTCCACTTCCTCACTTGCTTCTGGAGACATCGAGATGCGCGAGACAGTCGGATGTATTAATGTTCACGCGGAATGGGCTGGAAAAGGCTCTATAGGGACGTGTTTGATGCATATGGCTATGACCCAAATCGGGGTGAATCCAAAGCAACAAGCCTACGGCTGGCTCCACTGTTGTTTGATCTGGTGCATCAGCGAACAATTGCCTCTGAGGCGTTCTGAATGTCTGCCACACATCTCGTCGGGTCGTAATTCTTCGCATTCATGTGCTCTGGCCAAAATGTTGCGCAATTATGTGCAAGTCACAGCTTGGGCACTTGAAAAAACTGTCGACGAATGCACCCCTGAACTGATCAAGAGACGTGTTTACAGTAATTCTGCATGCTGTATGCTGGGTTTAGGCCCTGCCTGACTCCAAATACTCCAAGTTGACTTTTCAAATCTGGCAATCTACCAATGGCCCATGAACCACTTCAATGCATACTCTTCTTCTGCCCACGACCGGAGATTCTCCTGTTTTCGTCAATGTTGTCTTATTGCTTCGCCAAGTCATGCCGAGACGCACTGACATCCACCAAATACGTTCGCTGCCGCGTGCGGGTCTGCCGCAATGACCACAGCCATCGCATGTGCCTCGCTTCTATTGGCATTGCAGCGATGGGGAAATGTGAACAATCCACGTGCGCTCTGAGAGTTACATACATTGACCATGCCCGTGGATGGGGGTGTAGATAAAGAAAACCCTAAATCAAAGGCCTCTGCCAGTGGAAACTCCTGGAGCTCCAACAAAAAGCACGGAAAAACCAGGGGTTCTGCCTCTGCCAAGTCACTGGAACTCCGTCAGATGCTGAGCACCCAGCAAAATGATGACCTGCGTTCTGACAGGAAAGGAGTTCTCCTTCACATCGATTACCCCCGGGAGATTCACATGTGTGAGCAGTCAACGCTTGCTTTTTGAAATTTCAAAAGCTGCCAATGGCAGTTGCGAAGTTCCGTCTAAAATGAACGGAAAAAACAAGGCAGTCCTCAAATGCGGTCCATGTTCCAAAACGTTCACCAGTCATCACCGACGTTGGCAATCCACACCACCACACACCGCGCGGCCCACGGGGGAGACCGACACATGCAGCCGTGTGACATTCAAGACGCATCGTGGAACGAAAAACAGGTAGGCACTGAAGAGCTTCAAGACCAAAGCCACCAAGGCCTGGGTCATGGAGGACTGGGGCATTGGACGCGTCGAAACGAGAGTTAAAATAGATCCTGCAATGGACGTGCAGAAAATGGTGGTTCACTGGGCCACTGGGTGCCCATTATTCACATGTTCTGAATGAATTTTCCCATCTACATCGGGTCCTTTCACTTGCGGTCCAGGTCTCCGCCACATAGATGTTGGCGCCTAACTGGCTCATGACACCTGTGGAGTAGGCGATGCCCATGCCTGCACAACGACCAGCGGCCAAACAGGTAGAGAGTCTCTAGGGAAATTGCTGCGGGAAAATCCTTCACCATGATTCCTTCACCAGAGTCTTTGGAGGACACTAAATGCAAAGGAGGACACAATATCGTACCAAACAAAGCAGCTTCCACTGGTTTTAAAAACAAACAGGGTGTCCTTTGCGGCTGCCAATATGTGCTTCCACAACTGGTTAGCAGGGTGTTTACATCTGAGTCTACAAATGGGAATCTTAAGTTTCAACTTAAATATCAGAAACCATGTGATATGTCAGTTTAGAAAGAAGTAAGTGAATAATCATAAACTTAGAAATGTGAAATCCATGGAAAGTTAGGTTTGCTATTGGCAGTGGTTCATGTTTGAATGTTCATGGATTTCCATACAGGTATCCTTTTCCGAGATGTGTATCAAATTTTGCAAAAACATTGTCAGGATCAGCTTCCAAACATTGATACCGAAAACCATGTAACTAAAAAATAACTGAAGGGCTGAAGGTAAACTGGCATAGTCCATAAGAATTTGATTTTGTGCCCATGGGAAGAAACGTTGTTGGTTGTAGTGTAGGAAACACATTTTATATTTACATGGTATGCCTGCAGACAATTTAAAACGACATAAAAACATTTTTTTGAATATTGTGTCTGTGGAAGGTCTAAACAGCATGGTTTTGGCACGTGTAAGGCTGGCTTCAGAATGAACAACTCAACAGCCATGGCCTCAGTCAGCGCCTCTATACGCGCATCTCTGTCTCTCCACGTGAAAAATCACGCACGCTGAGGCGTTTCACGTCAGCCACTGTGGCAGTCTGAACGTTTCTTTTTGCGACGTCCCAATTTCGGCACCAAGGCACGGCTCAAACCAATCCTGGCGCATTGTTTTTTCTGGGCGGCCGTGGTCGTGGGGCAAAGCAAAACATGGACATTACTAAGGTTTTGATGTTCTTGTGGATCAACCATAAAGCAAACCAAATCCGGCAAGGGTTCTGGAATACACTTTTCAATTGCAGAACTCCAGCCCCCTGACCATGAACCTATGACCAACCCACTGACCAACCCTTTAACCAGTGGTTTGGGTCTCTATATATATAAATATAAATCTCTTGATCCACTGGATCACTGTGCCACACGGCCAGTGCCATTTCCACCAAGTGTTAGGCCGAAGCACTGCGTGGGCACGGCCCCGCACACGGCGCCGCCCAAGTTGGCAAAACCCAAGGCCAACAACTCGTTGATGGCGATGACCTCGCAGAGTTGTTCGCGCTGCATGGCACCTCCCGAAAACCTACCTTATGCACACCAAGGATTCCTCTGCAAACCTGTGGTTGACAGGGTCCATGTGAGTCAAACAAGCAGGGGTAAAACACCTGAGACAAAGAGACCATCCGACCATTCGGAATCTGTTCAAAGGGATATTTTTGGACGAATCCGCCATTTTTCCACGTGCAGAGATCAACATGAAGAATACTGTATCAGTGCCTCTTACCCGGTTAGAATCTGTACTGACCATTCGCTAGGTGGAAGGGATTGAATCAGGTATATACTGGCAGAAAAAAGTGAGTACGAGTCAGGTATGGCCCCTCGATTCACACGAAGCTTCAAAAGTGTGACGGACAAACCATTGCAAAAACAAAATGCAGTCCCCTCTCTTGTCACTCTTGCGGCATGCCCACGTCCCTCCTGGCAACAGCTTCATGGCCTGGCTTGCAAGGTGGGAAACAAATACTCCTTCGAGGAGCTAGGCTCTCTCCCACGGTGATTTCAAAAGCTCAAATTGGACGTCTTGAGAAACGTCCCTGGGCTCGATTCCTCCCGTGGATTTGGCAAGAGCTTCAAGACACAAGATTCAAGCTGCCCAGGGCACCTGAAGTGTTGGGCTTGACACTTCGAGCAGGCACCCTTGTTTCGATTTGGCCAGCCGCGTCCAGCTCACCTTACATCGGCACCTTGCCTTTTCCGCATTTTTGGTCATTCGTGGTCTGATTCTCGCTTCGGGTGCGTTGTCAGGCCCGCCTCGTTTCTCCAGACGCGGACAACGCGCGTAGTGAGAAACGTCCCTGGGATCGATCCCAATGCCGGGCAGGGGAGCCCGGCGTCTGGTTTGCACCGGCGTGAACTGAAAATATGCGTCTGGCCTGGTTTGCAAGTGCTTGGCGTGGAAGTATTTTGTATAAGGTTCAATTCTTCAGTGTCGCTGAAATTCAGGCAGAGTATATACAATTTTGTCCCTGCAAGTCATGAAGAGATCATGAACACTATGTTTGTTTTTAACGGACATTTAGTGGGACCAAGTAAAACTAGATAAACTATAGGTTCTAATATATAGAGTAAATTATAGTGGTCATTGTCTCCAAATCTATATGAACAAGTTTGACGAGGTCATTGACTTAGAAGGTGTAACTTCAACAAAGCCAAACACTTAGGCCAAGTAGGTCACATCGTTCGGTCCGTTTGACGGTCGATCTTGTGTGCAAGAGCCAATCCACTCATACACATGAGGCATCAGCATCATACCGCTAGCATCCGCGGTCCGCCACGTCCGCTAGCCCCGATGTCCGTGCCTGGTAGCCAGCTTGCATGGCAAACCTGGGAGAGCTGACTGTTTGAGTCGACGTGACTCACGGGAGCCACCGTGACTCACGGGAGCCAACTAACTCTTAACCCCCAAACCTGGAACCCACCCCACTGGCGTTGGAAAAAAAGATCTTTTTGTTTAACTTATTGAGCGTTGCACATCTCAGAAAACGCTGCGCAGTCAGTGCGCCCTCCTAAGCGACGCACTGCGGGGACGAAGCAGGGGCAGGACGCGCACCGGTGCGCTCGCTCGCGCCCTTGGGCCCACCGGGCTTCTTCGCTCCAGCGAAGGAGGATAAGAAGGTGACCAAGGCCACCATGATAGCACCCGGAAGCATCTCCTGGCGAGTCACGGATTCGACTTCGGTCCGTGAGTCGAGTTGTCCGTGTGGATAAAGCACCGATTTGTGCCGAAAGCCAGTGGATTGACCCAGGTGACAGAATCTTTATGACAGTGTCTGCTGCTTCCCTTCTGAAACACACAAAGTACATCAAAGTACATGTCAAGACGAAAACTTTCAGTTTGACCAGTGCACCTTCTAGCTTTGGTGGAAAGAAACCAGTTTGATGGCCCAAGGTGTTCAAGACGAAGTGGATAAACCCAATGGTGACTTGTCGCTGGTTGAAGTTTGTAAACTGAGAACCCAGCATTCGCTATTCATTGGCATCTTTGGGCGTAGCTTCGCGGCGCGCGTGCGCCATTTCTTGAACCCCCGAAAACCACTTGCCAGTTCAGCCTCAGCTGTGGTACAGGTCACGTCTCAGCAGTAGCAGAATCTGCCAACCACCCACGCAACACTCATCCAACGCACCAGGGTGCTTTTTATGACTCAACCATCCTCAACCCTTGGCTAGGCAGCCAAGTCTGGAGTCCTTGGCCAAAGCCACGTCATCTTTCGTTTGCAGTGGCAAGGATAATCCCGGCAAGCCAGCTGGTACGTCCTCAGGTCGCGACCGACATCACGAGTTCCAAACAACCCATCTTTGTCATGAACTGTTCAGGGCATTGAGGCTTTACGATCCGGTCGATGTGGATGTGGATCATGGCACTCCGGGCGCCTCAGATTCCTCCACAAGGGATGTCAAGCTAGCATGGTTTGGTTGGGAAGGTTTTGACTCACAGCCATTGACCACAACTCCTGGCAAAATGAGACATGGTCAACTGCTGCCAGGTCTCTCCAACGACAGCGACGCCAAATTCAGAGGCAAACCTGGCAGGAGAAACTGCTGCAGTGCTGCAACAGTCCAAGATCTTGCCAACAAAGCCAGCAGCTCACTCAGCGGCTCCTACGGTCCTAAGCGAAGAGTGCAGTGTTGAAGAAAGAGATCCGAAATGACCGAGTCCAGGGACTGCGTATCACCAGTGGTGTTCGCCTTTCCGGCCCCCCAAAAAAACCGCCCTGCACATCACCGACCTTCGCGGACCCAAAGCAACCTGGCTCCATCTGGCTCCCTTTCAACCACGGCTCGCGCGCGGGTGTTTCTCGGCCGTCTGCTGTTCGGACCCCACGGCCCTCGGTGACACCCGTCGGGTCGGTCGTTTGCCCAACGACCTCTCCGGTCGCCACGCAAAACGGTCCTAACAACAAGGTGGCTTGGAGTTGGATGATGGGGACCAGGGTGGACGGCAGGAAACAGCTGTCGAGATTACGACGACCAACCAAGCAAACATAGTACGTAAATCTGCTGGTCATCGAACGAATCTCAAAAGTTGGCCGTTCACCCTGGCCGTTCTACCAAATGACACCTTCCCTGCCCATGTCGCCCAGTTTGCTTTCTCAGTCTTGCGATGTCTGCTTTGCGTTATAACGTTCAGTCAAGTAGGTTGGCTGTGGGTCAATACCAGGATACCTTAAGGCCTAAAGCTTGACCGACGCAGGTGTCGGTCGAACTCGCTTTGCTACATGGTGGGCTGAGGTCTTGGGCTCCAAGTGACCCAGACCCCTTGGTCTTGCCACTACAGTGGATTGAGAGTAGTTGGCACAACCCCCAGTGTCTGTGGTTTAGATGGACCCCCATCTGTCTAGGACATCGTGGGGTCTGTGCCATCGCTAGAAACACAGAAAAAAGAAAAGGAAGAAGGGTAAATGCATGTAAATGCCATCTGCTCTGAAACCACTGAAATTCAACGTTCGCTCCCTGAAAATCGTTCCGGCCTACTGGCCGCGATCGCGAAGAAGGTCAAGGCTGACAGCTCCTGGCGCGCAGGTAGTCGCGAGGAGAGTGTTTTCGGATGAAAGCACTGAGCATAGCTCGAAGGCGGTTCTTCGAAACACAATAGATGCCCCCCAGTTGGAAAAGTATGTGACCTTTCCACCCTTGGAGTGGCTTTCCACCTTTATGTGACCTTTATTATGCCCTTTGGAGTGGTGAAACATTCAATCAGAACGTGAAAAGGGCACTCCAAAGGTCGGTTTGGCTACTCCCCGGTCCGGGTTCATCACGCGGCCTGTCAAAGGAGTGGAGGGTTCACTCACACAAGCGAAAGCAATGTCTTCACACAAACGAACGCAATGCGCGCAACACCAAGAAAGAACATGACCCTTTGGGTGGCCATCACTGAACCGGTCTCCGATTCGGAGACACCATGGTCTGGCAGGCAGCAAAAGGGTCTACACTGCGGGCTGCGCGGCTGCGCCTGAGAACCAAGTCACAGTAACATACAAATCTCAGCACAGCCCTGCTTAGAAGATCTTAGAAGAGCCCTTCGATATCAGTTGGACATTGGACCTCTATTGCTTCTAGGCCCTTGCCGCCGTCACGCCACTCCGATCTCATGCCGATGTCGCCATCTCCTTGAAGTCGCCGAGCATTCGCAGAGTCCAATGCAGCGATTTCAGCCTCTTGATGATGGACAGGTAGCCCAAAGCACCTCAGATCCTACTCCCCTGCTATTCGGACCACATGGAACCCCTGCCAACTACCGGGTGGTACCACCGGTCAATTCGTCGTCATGGCCCCTCGGCCGGGCAAACGACACGAGTCTCACATGGTTTGCACGTCGAAAAGCGTTGCTCAACGTCCATCCCTTAAAGCTGATGTTCCAAACAAACAGTCATACCACACGGATCGTGCGCGTGGCATTGGCGGCCTTGACCCCGGAACGGCACGGCCAAAGTCATCCGCAGAGGTGGGCTCTTCTCCAAACAAAGCCTTCATCTGACATCAATTGGTGTTTTCAATCATCATTGGATGATTCAGTCAAAAACAGTCATCCGTCATCAGTCATCCCCTATTAATTGGGTACTCTATGTCACCAGTAGACACTTGCCATCCAGCCACCGCTCCGAACGTCGAACAGGTCCGATGTCCGTGTGACATTGGTGGAACAAACGATGCATCTAAGAAACTAAGCAAGCTTGTAAGCTTGTTCTATATATATATATACAATACCTGCTCTTTTGAGAAACTCATCCCCAAACAAGTTTGCTGGCGCACTGATCACCTGGTGCTTTCACCTGCTTGACCGCTTGTGGCACTGGGGGTGAAGCACTCCTTCGACGGCAAATTCCACCTACACGGAACCTTGAACTATTTCAGTGCGAGTGCATTTTTATATGTATTTTGCATATATCATGTATGACTTTCAATCTTTTGTCATTTATCTATTTATATGTATACATTCCTAGATTGCTTGGAGGACCACCCTGCACCAGCAGGGACGACATGCCCATTCCGCTGCCTGTTCCTTCTCTGCCCGGTGCCGGCTGCTTTTGAATTTCGAGGCACCCAGACTCACCGCGATGGTGGCGGGGCGGAGGTCTGCCAACTCATTGGGGTGGAACCAAGCGATGGCCTGACATGTTGGTCTGTTTCTTGGTGGTTTATCCCTTTCCTTTATGCGAGACCAGGTGAAAAAGAATACACAAGTGTCACAAGATCAAAACAACCAATGCGGTGAGGCTAAAGCAGGAACCCCTCTGATACATACCAGCACCCCTCTGATACACCAGCACCCCTCTGATACATTGTTCACTGTGGAAAGAGCTTCGGAAACATCACGATGAAGGCAAGGAAAACCACAACATCTCAAATGTTGGTATAGTGCTCCCTGGCACCAAAATCTGGGTTTTCCAAGCTTCAACTGAAACCACAGCAAGAGCTTATGTTCAAGTCAAGGTGCAAAAATGCCTCCCGTGTCCGATTTGGGCAGGCCCAACATGGGCTTCATCTGAGACGCCATGATGAGAATGGCGCTCGCAGTGATGAAGCCGCTAAGCCTCATTCAACACAGCCGCAGCGCCGAGCACAGCCAGACACACAGCCGAGCCAGCCCTCAAAGCCTCTTCCTCTGCCAACCATGTAATGATCGAACTATAGATTGATCATCGCTACAGTGTCAAGAAACGCGGACCACTGTTGCATTGTTCTGGTTTCTTGCGGCAGCTACATCTGAAGTCTGCTGGCCGTCTGAAGTCTTGACCCCTCCCACAACACCCCCAAAAGAAGGGACCGCATGCTACCACGACCACTTGCTGTCAGCACGTGTCTTAGCCGCTTAGCCCAGCTGCGCCGGCTTGGAAAGAAACCGCACGAGAAAGGCTAAGCGAAAGACGCCCATCATGGTGATCACCTGTGGAAGTGATCTTCAACTGAGCTGGGCGCCGCTGTTTCAGGCAGAAAGACGACGAAGAAGACAGCCCCGTTTCACGTGGCCGGTGTCCACTTCAAAATGAATGTGGTGTATTCAGTATTCGTGTTTCATTTGCTTCCATGGTGGTTTGCAGTGTTTTACTCAGCCATCTCGATTGTTTTGCGTTTAGTGCGTGCTTATTTGATCAATGCTTTGGGATGAGCAGTCAACAGGTTGGTGGTGCTGGGCCGACAGCTCTTCCGCCCATCAGTCTACCAGGTTGACTTGAAAAACCAACAAGCGATCTCGCAAACGCAGCTTTTACCGTGGATGACCATCCGAACACACACACACAAAATGGAATAAACAATGATGGACAAAAAGAACAAACACAAATACGCATTAATCACCAAGCCACTGTGACATCAACTACGCCACATCGAAAAACGAACTGCACTGTGCATCACGTTGCCACCTGTTCTTCTCTTTCATGCTTCGATGTCTTCAACATTCTTCAACATGCGATCGAAATCCAAAACATTCCAAAACCATTGGAACACCGTCAATCCCTCCGCGTGCGCGCGCGTGCAATGCTGCGTCGGTGCACCAAACCCACGAGGAGGGTGAAAATGGCTCCTGGCGGCCCGGCCAATCCCGCCGCTCAGCGGAAGGAGCGGCCCTGGTGGCGGGACATCTTCAATCTTGAGAGGATTGAGTACCAGACTGTTCCTGTTACACACCCAGGACATCATGTGGACTCTTGAGGACGTAGGACCATACACACCCCATATGAAGAGGTTCTTCAGTCCTAAATGGGGTGGGTTTATGGTCCTCAAGAGTCCACATGATCCTAGATACTCACAGGAACGGAGCACGCGTCTCCGTCCCGGTCTCGCTGACCGGACCGGTTTCGGGCCCGGTGACCGCCCACGGTTCACCAAACAGACATGTACCGTACAAGTGAAGACGTACAAGTGAAGCTGAAGAAAAAATGTCTATGCCCTATGGAGCCACATACCTTCTGAGAAGGTATGTGGATCCATAGGGATGTATGCTTTATACTTCATTGTGGCATGTTTTGGCATGTCTACTGTCTACCCATGTCTACCCTAAGCGAATTCTCCTGCATGTGTACGTTGCTCTAGGTCGCCATAGTGGGCCAACCTCAAGAAGGATCAAAACCGGATCAAGTCTGTGAGTTGTGGAGGCAAATCCAACGACATCGAAAGAGTTTGGGATGGATGATGATGGTTAGTAAAGGCCTTTGTTGAACATAGTGACAATCTTTGGCCTGACTGCTAGATGGAGTTCCGTCCAGTTCCGGTCTGCTAACATGTCATGTCTCCGGCTGCCAAAAATGCACAAACCATGCGGTCTGTCTGGTCTGTCTGCGACAAAAAAAGGGCAACGGCACGCGTGCCCCACGATGAGTGGATTAAGCGCTGCCGCATGTTGGTTTCAACGTGAAACTCACTGAGTTCTGCACTGCTCTCCCGTCAGAAGGCTTATGAGACCTCCTGTGCCTGAAAAAGAAAGGCCACAACTGGATATGCTCACAACAGCTGGTCATGACGTTCCCGGAGCCAATGATCCTGAAAACTATTGACTACAGTAGATAGTGCAAACCATTAAGATAAAGCTTGGCGCCGTTCTCGCTCCGTGGCTTCAGATCATGAACTTGTGATTCCGTCCTTTCAAAAAGTCCATGCCTAACACATCCCTCCTGCCGCGAAGTTTACAACACATCCCTCCTGCCGCGTCTCTCAGTGAGACTACTAGGCTACACCGGTCTGGGAAAACGCGTTCACTTGGCGTCGGCGTTCCGCGTGTGTTCGGCGTTCCGCGGCTCACGGCGCCTATGGACGAATGGATGCAGGTGCCGAAGAGAGAGTAAAGGATGGGAGGCAAAATGCAGCTGTAAGGCCCATGGATCAAATCCACCTAGAGGGCGGAGTAGCGGAGTAGGGAGTAGAAAAAAGTGATGACCCCCCAAAACCAGAATCTGGGCGAAACATGTTCGACGTGATGGAACATGCGGATTTTGATTGGGCATGGTCCAATGTGCCAAATGGATGTCTTTGGCTTTAAGATGGGGCCAGTTCTGAACCATACGAACGTCAAATCGCTCCACCACTCGTCGGCTTGCGCGCCCCTCGCAACACTCGCTTCAGTCCACAGGGGCCTCGGACAAAATGGTGGAGCCAACGAAAACACCCCAAAGGTGAGGAAAAACCTCCAGCCTTGACAAGACCTGGTCCCTTAGGGCTCCAAGTACCTCCTCAGAAGGTATTTGGACCCTCTAAACCCACCCCAAACACCTTAGAAGGTACTTGGAGCCCGAGGGGGCATCACACATGACTCAAAATGCATTAAACACATCATCTGGACTATGATCTGGTTGGTGGTTTCAATTCACTTGACAAATGCTAATCAGTGGGATCATCTCGCAATCAATTTAACAGAATTAATTGCAATGATTATATATCTGAAACCACCGCCCAGATGATATATAAATGTTCGTATCAATGTGTATGTGAAGCGGAGCATATATAACTCGCGGAAGCTCCCGCACATCTTGTGAGATGTGCGCCCGCACAGCATTCTGGCATGCCGGTTACCAGGGCCCAAAGCCAGAAACAAACATATGACACATTCATGCACCAAATAGAGAGCGGTGCAAAAGGTATTCTTTCTCCACTGGACTATAGCTGGCTTCAGGTGCTGGCATGAGTTTATGTTTTTGATTGTTTTTGTTGCTTGGAAAGGGCACCACTAGCGCTACCCTAGCTGGTCACTCTGTTTCGGCTCGGCTTGTTTCAGTGGCGCATCTGGCCAGAGGCGCCTTGCAAAGATCTGCATGCGCCAAAGACTGGGCGACCAGAATGCAGCCCAAGGTAATCCCGCCAGACAGGTCCTGCCCGGCTGTCTGAAACGCCCGGGTGCCCGCTGGTTGGACATGACCCGGGTCAAGTGGTGACTGTATGTCTACTCCCGAACCGCAGGTTCACCTAGAACCCCCAGTTCACCACGTCGGGTGGTAGAGGATTAATGGTCTTTTGCGGGTGAATTCTCAGGTTCCATGGGATCGTGACAGCGGGAGTGCAAGCAACAAATGCCGGTGCCTCCGGTCGTTCTTGCCACGCCACTGATCCGTTCAGCTGGCCGTGTCTATCACTAAAGGGAGAGCACCGAGACTCATCTAACCCAAAACACCGCGTTGTAGACGTCGACGTCGACAGGCAGGACGATCGACACCTCGGATCGTTGGGTTTCCGAGGCCAATGCGTTTTTCACCAGTCCTTGAGGCCGTACTCCTTCCAGTTGTAGTAGGGAAGCCACTCCAGAATCGGCAAGAACCTGAATCGGCAAGAATCGATCACGGTCGATTCAGCGGCCCAACACCAATAAAAAGGAGCACACGACCTGCCATGGTACCTCAAAGCATGCATACGCACTCAGGCCCTGCTCATGTGGGTCATTTCTGGAATGCAAAGAAGCTCAAGCAAACAAGCAAAATGCTGTGGCCTTAGAACAAACCTGTGAAGACTATTGAAGACTTGAAGTCTGCTCATCAAAACCTTGCGCATTGGTCAGCGGACCCGTGTTCACAATCCTTGAACTCCTGACTTTGTCTTCCAAGAGGCTTGCAAAAACGCTCCTTCCACGAGGGTCGCAAGTCGCTTTGCCTTGCAGCCCCCTTTTGTGGTGGTCCTTCGGGCGTTCGCAACGGGAAGTACTCGTCGGCGCCAGCCGCCATGGCAGGAATCACCGCCGAAATTCGACGTCCAGTCAACGCAAAATCAAACCCTGGGAGTCCAGTCGACTATCTTTAAACATGGTCCCTAGATGACCCGGCTCCAATAACTTCACTTCGGGTGCTGCCAAAGACTTCTATGGGCCATAGATTCCATCATGTCAAAGTTTGGGAGTACTGTGAACTGGTGCGAGATGATCAACAGCTGAGGAATTTCATGTTGAATCATGTTGCCGAAACATCGAAGATGGGACTGGTCAACGACACTCAGCGAGATGGCCTGTCATTCTGAATTGCCAAGGCATGCCAATGCTTCATCAGCAACACCGTCAAAGAACGATCTACAACGTGGCGCAAAAAGTTAAAGACCCAACCATTCTGTTTCCTAGCTACGTGAGATCATATCACCCTTCAGCTTGTCTGGAATCTATATAGCTAATTATAGCTAGCCGTGGAGCTTCATACTGAGGTGCAACATGGTGAAGCCATGAAAAGCCATCGTGCACCTCGTTCATCACAGCTTGAGCAAAAGCTCGGCGACACCGAGGGTGCTGCAAAACCCTCACGACACACAAAACGCCGCTGCAGAGTGGATCAAAGGTTGATCAAGGCAAGGGCCAAGCTAAGGCGGCGAAGGGCGCACAAGATTCATCCTGCTAAAGGTGCGTAGATCTCTAGTTCTCCATAGTTCTCCCAGAGTTCAGTAGCTGAATTGCTTGCATGGGCATGGGTGCACTGGTTAAGCCTGCTTGCAAATGCCGCCAAATGCCCTTCGCAAAACATGGGACAAAGGCAGGTGCTCCTCATAGTATGGGACAGGGGTGAACGCGCGTCATGAAAGTTCCCCAAAAAAGGATCTTCGGGTCAACTTTATGAACCACAAAAAATACCAACAGAGGTTAAGTGACTTTATAGGACACTACAGGGGCACCGGATAGCCTATAGGGTCTTTCAACCTCTGTTGGTAACTGGTCAACTTTGGGGTTTCTGGGAACCACTTTGGGTCAACTTATGCATCAAATATGAGGGAAAGCCAGCCCGCATCTAGCTGGGGCTTTCCCTTGGATGTTGGGAAACCCCTTGATGCGGGCGTCTCAGGTTTCGGTTTCGCTTCCTCCACTCTCCCATCCCGCTCAAGAGGAGTCCGCGAGGAAGACGGATTCCGCGGTAGCAGTGGAATGTCCTGTCCCTCTCTCTTTCCCTCGCTATGTAACATAGCGTGAAGAGTGATAGCATGGCTTTTTTCTGGTGGTGAGCGCCAAACAGAGCGCCAGCTAGCTGACTTCCAGACTGGCAAACAGATTCCCGGATGTAAGCCCGCGCCTCCCAGAGTCAAGTCCCAAACTCTACGCAGCCTGGATCCAAACCCTAGCTGCATCCCGATGGGATGACTAGTTTCAGAATGACAATTCAAAAGTATCAAAAAGTAGATTCCAAAAATTGACACATTGATATTCTGGCATGCTGGGATGTATGCAAGCCCGATGTTCATTGCTTTCAGCTATCTTCAAGTCATCCGGCCTTGCGTCTTTCTATGTCTTTCTAAACCGGTGGCCTCCTACATCTGCCCAGCTCAGCCCGCGCGCCCAGGCAAAAAAATAAAAAACACCTGCGTGTGATGTGGAAGAACCAGCAAGTTGAATTGCTTGCCTCAGATCTCGATGCCAAAGATTCCCTGTGAAGAGTTATATAGTTCCTTCTAGTCCTGGACGAGCTAGAAGCACTCACGTGCGTGGGAGATAAACATGGAACCACACATTTGATATGATTTAATACGATGCTACTTCATGATAGGGGCTGGGTGGGGGCAGCGCTCTGACCGGACGGCAAACTCACACACACAATAGGATTTGTACCGACATTGCACTCTCTCTCTCTCTCTGCACAAAGGTCCACTCTTCCATTCATGTTCAGTTTGGGACATATATCACGTTCTCTGCACACGAATTCGGACCAACAAATTTACACTGAATGCACCTTCAAGTGCACGACCTCGTCTGACTGTTCCCATGGAGATCGTCGACACACCGTCTCCACGTTCAAAACGACCCGCCGGTCGATGTAAACCGGGCATAACCGGGCCCCGGAACGCATACAGAGTGCCCACCTGGGCGCAGGTGGGCAAACCCCGACGCCCACTTATGTACAACATATATAATACTGTGCGTGTATAAGGTATTGTATAAGGTATGTATATATATATCCCCAATCACGCCTAATGGCATACTACTTACTTGCATATGTTTGCAGATATTGGCCACATTGGTGTGGTTGATGCGGGGTCATTTCGGTTGCATATACACCATTTACATCCATTTGCGACATGGAGTGTCTATGTTTGCTATTCTGATTGTTGTCGGGTCTCTCACCCCCTGTGTTCTGACTCCGTTCTCCAGGTTCTCCAGCTACGGATGTGCGCCTCTCACTCCAATTCCTTTCAATCTTTCAGTGCTGTGCCATGAGGCTCAAACACATCAATGCTGATTGTGCAAAATACATCAGCCGCGAGCATCACTAAAAGCATCTAAAAAACGACAAAAAACGACATGTGACGTGGACTTTGCCCAAGCTACGCCAATTGGACCTGGGCGGCTTGGCAGTTCCTGATACTTGCCGCATTACTCTGAGCATTGCACTGGTAGAAGATCTCGCGGAAAATGTCCAAGCCTTGACCCAGTGCCATGCAGGTGTCGAATCGACAAGTACCAAAGAACAAACACCTGGAACTCCTTGACAACTCATCTGCATACCCGCTGATGGATAGCTGGAGGCCGATCTCTTTGCACGTGTGTTCCCCCTGCTTTTCCTTTCCACATCTTTGCCTCAATACCTTTCCTGCTCTTTGCTCTCCCTCTCTCCCTGTCTCCCTCTGTCCCTTCGTCACGCACCACCCCGCCGCCCCACTCCCACGACCGACCAACTGCCGCCGACCCGAAAAGCTGCTGTTTTGCGCCGGTCTCATGGCTTGCAAGACCTCGGGCGGGTCGGACCCTCTCGCCGGTCGACCCCAAAGATCGTTTTTGGTTTGCTGGGAAGAAACCAAGCGCATTGAGTGGGGTCGACCGGACAAGTGACTCTTAGTTTCTTAGTGGTGTTATGCTGAAGCCCTAAGAAAGAACCAGCACTCAGATTTCTGTTGGTGTTGCTTTTCATGAGGGCTATGGCTGCTCGGTCAGAGCCTATGATCCACCCCAGCTTGGCCAAAAAGGCCGAATGGAAGAACACATCCTCGGCTGCACATCGGCCATTTCACCTGGTGACCTGTCGGATATCCGGTCGGACCCAGTGATGCAAACGAGGAAAAACCCATCACCGAGTGGCATGGAGATGAATCTCATGCTGAACTTGGAGGTTAGGGGTGCCCCTATCACATCCACTCACGGGATGGGACTAAAAACCACCCCTGTGTGACTCCTGGAAAGCAAAGCTACAAACATTGGCTCTGTGATGCTGCGTGAGTATTCTTCCTTCCTGTTTCAATTCATGGTCATCCTGGAGTATATAGATGGAATTAGTATATGGGAAACATCCTGAAGAATCCAATGAACGACAGGAAACTCAGGAAGCTGGTCAAGTCTTTTGGATGCACCAAACCAACCCAAGCCCAGCCTACTGTTAGAGGGAAGGGGCCCTCTAGACGAAGTGCACCCTAAAGGGTGCACTGAGGACCATGTAGCGTAGTCAGTCTTGCAGTCCATCAGTAGTCGCCATATGGTCCTCAGTGCACCCTTTAGGGTGCACTTCGTCCTATAGTTAGAGGGCCCGTAAGAGGATTTTTGTACATGCCCCTTTTGAACTCAACATCCATGTATGATCCGAGAGTGGGTGGCACCTTTCTCATTGCGAATGGCCATGAGCCATACCCGCAATCCGTGCCGTTCTAAGCACCCCAGCAGCTGAGACGTCACTGGTGTCCATAAGGCTATGACCTGAGACGTTACGGCTCGGCTCGTTCCAGCACCCGCCCTTGTTCCGGAGTAACTTGACTATGACCACCTACAAGAACTACTCCGTACTTCAAGTTATGAACCTTCCTTAGACTATGACACTGTTGACCAGACTATGAAACCACTTACACATAGTACTGTTTCAAGAAACTCTGAATTCTCAGAGTTTTTGCATGCACTGGTCTCAGAGCAATATGGCACCAACACTGACACAAACCCCAAGATGTCTTCTCATTCTGGATGGGGTCTGAAATCCTCTTCATATGGGGAGTTTATTAATCAAGAGCCTACATTGTATAGTAATATACATTCTATACAATGTGCCTTTTCTTCTGCCCACCCACCAAATCAACCTTCAGGCCCTTGCTGCGTGAAAGGTCCACCAACTCCTTGCCAGGACGGTATTCACGCTGTGCCTCGGCCGAAAGAACGCCAAGCGCGGCCATCTGCGAAACACAGGAGCCGAGTGATGAGACGGGAGGGATCATGGCAAAGCTCACAACATCACCAACCACTTAAGTCTGCCATCTCCCCGTCTACAGTCTGCCATTGTCTGGGCAAGTCGGCGTCCATCGAGCAGAGTTGGAGCCCACCGGGCACAACCCTGGTCCGATTAAGGTTCCCAGCCCAGTCCAAATAGCCAGAGACAGCAGGATTCAGGATATTGGTCTGGCTGCACGGTCTCTTCAGGAGCCTTCTCCCGTGTTTCAGTTTCTATGATACTTCGAGGGCTTGGGCGCCTATATATGCTTTGACGGTTTGAAGTAGCGCTGGACCTCACAAAAGTGGCAGGCCAGCGCGTAAACTCAAACATGACAAACAACGCATGGCACGTGTTGACATTTGCCATCGCTTGTCGAAAGAATGCACGCAGGACGAATGAGCTATCTTTACTGTCTGTCTTACTCTGCTTAACTTTGTGTCAACAAACCTCCTTCATGGGCCAAAAGTGTTCCTGGATATCGGCTCGCCTGCTTTTTGAACTCCTGGTGGGTCAAGGAGAGATCTTCACTCTTTGCATACTTCAGGAAGAAAAGCATGGTCCTTATAGCGGGCTCAGTCCACTCACGTGGGCATCTGTTGGGGATGTGCATGATACCGTGGCGTTCGGAGTTTCAGCAGCTTTCTGAGCTTGTTGCTGACACATGTCGACCCGAAGCCAGGTCATTAAAAAGGGCAATGCAAATACCAATCTACCCGCATGGGATAGCATGGGTATCATATATATATATATGGTATCATGGTATCATTCAATACCCACCGGCTGGCTCTGTGATTGTAATCATATTCAAATTCTCCCATTCAATCTCCTCTATATGTAAATGCCAATCTATATACATACAAGCGGTATCATATATGGTATCTTATGCAAATTCTCCCATGACGCTCTCTCTCTCTCTCTCTTTTCGCTGGAGCGTTCCGCCGGACGGAGACATACATTCGCCTGACATTCGCTGCCATCCACTGCCTGGGCGGCCTGGCTCCAGATGTCCCAGGAGCCCTTTGAGATCTTTGGGCGCCACTTTCTGGCGCGGAAGCGACGGCTGAACGACGGGGGTTTCGCGGAGCTGCGCGCAAGATACGAGGGTGAAAAACAACAGGTCGAGGTGATGTTCTGCTCACTTTGAGCTTACCCCATTACTGCTATTTAATCTCATTGATTCAGTTTAGATGGAACATGAGGATTTATCCCGAATACATCCATCTGCATCTCTCCAATTCTACTGCATCGAAATCCTATATTACAAAAGAAAACAATTAAAAGAGTGGCACGAAGAGAAGCACAGCTCTGTATCAGCAAAACGTTGGAACCAGCCAGTTTCGCTTCTCAGATGTTTTCAGTCTCATCATGTCTCATCCAATTATATAAACCTCATAGAAAACATAGTCTATAGTAGATATAAGAAATGATCCTCATCCTTATCCCCGGCTCAAGTTCCAGCGTGGCGACAACCCGCGACTCGGGAGCTCCTGGTCTTCGACCAGCACGCTGGCTCGCGACAAGAAGACCTGCCGGTCGAAGCCACGTCAAACGTACGGCGACCCGTCACCGGCGACTCGTTCGCCCTTGGAGAAGCCAACGGCCTATCGACACGATCCCGGAGACCCCTTCTTTCAGAAACGCACCGACACGTCTCTAAGCTGTTCGTTGATACATGATTGTTTCTTCTTTTGATGGGCCCAAAGTGGAACTTCGTGGCCCAGGCTGCACATCGTCTTGATAAACACTCCGACTCACACATCCTCTTGGAAGTGAATGGTACCCCGGATTCGATCCAGGATCATCGGAACGTCCTGGCTTCCTTCGTGAACGTCCGGGACCCACGTCGTTCCGCTTTCGTGTCTTCCACCCGACGAATCCCGGGGTCCCGAAGCAGCGGTGCAGAGGATTCTTTAGTCCTTGTTGTGTCATTTGAAGCGAAGCACAATTAGGAGGCATGGGGCCCGTGCCAAGAAGCTAAATACATCCAAATACAACATTTCCTCTGCACACCAGGGGAGGGGCCCCGTACACTCTGACTGACCTGACTTACGTGCCATCCACGTAACCATGCGATGTCGTCGGAGTGTCCCGCCGCTTTTGGGGGGGGTGAAGACGTCCGGGATGGGACGGGTCCCGTCCGCGACGGGCACCCGGAGCGAGCGAGTTCGAGCGAGTTCGACGACCACCGCTGCCTGGTTGGGGCCACCCTCGGAGCGATCGACTAAGCGAAGGCAAACATCCAGGTCAGCGAAATCAAAGGGGCCCAGCCTCGGAATGCTGCAAAAGAGAGAGAGAGAGAGTCAGAGTCAGAGTCAGAGTCAGAGTCAGAGTCAGTGGTGTTTCTTCTCTCTTCTCTCTTCTTCGTCTTCTCGCAGCATGAGGAAGGATCCAATCCTTGTCGCTTGAACTGGGTCACTGTACAAAGGCATAACCGGAAAGTGGATCTCTGTGTGCAAACATGGGCATAGATTGGCAACCCCATTTCATTGTAAAGAAAAGGAGGAGGATAAAGAAAACAAAGACATTAGGATTAGTATTGAGTAGTGCTGTGATAGTGGGTTTGTTCCCGAAAATTGGTTGGGTCAGTCTGGGGTTGATTCCAGTAGCCTTCCTGCCTTCCTGCATGCCGCATCCCATCCGTTTTGGAGAGGCCTGTCAAACACACATGTTTCATGCAAAACACCACTTGTTGTGAATAGTAGCATGGCTACTAATTAGGCTGTTTGCAGACCGCAAAGTACAGTAAACCCCTTGTTGATCCTTCATTTCACCCCCATGATTCAACGTGTCGCCTTGCCCACTTTGGAAAGCTCCACTGATTTTTAAGGCTCGAGCTGAGGGCAGTTCATCACCTGCACCCAAACAAGATCAATGCAACACCGTGCCGGCAAACAGTCACATGAGGTGGATCTCTGTGGTAGAAGTGCATCCACGTTGATCCGCAAAAGCCGGAGTCCATGTTCTGCACCCCGTCTTTCCCATGAGCCTTGTACATTGTTTTTGTGTGCAGCAATCTATCACAACTGTTTCACCAAAGTTCAGGGATCTCTCAAAATGCCGAACACGCGTCACCCTGGAACTCATGAGATGTTCTTCAGGAATTCGATTGTGAGTTTGGATGCTGGGCTTTGTTGACAACATCACCCTTCACAGCTACGCAGCTACTCCACCACCGCAACGTAACATATATATATATATATGCGGATATGCGGCGCCAGTGTTATTCCAAAACATCTCAGTCGTAAGAAGATTGGGACAGTAACCACGTCTTCCGCATGTTCTGCTGAGGGATGTCTTTGTTGAGCTCGGGTTGCCAACCCGCTCCCTTAGTTCAAACAGGACAACGTGAATCCAAGCAACTGACCTGCAAAAACTAAAGCAACCCTCTCAACTATGCGTGTTTTGTGGACCTCATAATATAGACACCGCTGGGCGACAACATACCGAACTCAAGAGCAAACATCTACTGTGCATTGCGGCCATTGTTTTCTGCATACGGCCTGCTCTTCCACAGCTGTATCCGTATGGCGCCTGTGTCATCTGCACGGGCACGACTCACCCAACTTGACTGTGAGAATACCGTGAGGCTCCACAGTCAAAGTTTGAGGGAGAAAATTTGTTGAGGTGTAGTCTGGGAGGGGGACCAAAAAAACACAAGTAGAACAACAATGACAAACAATGCAACATCAACTGGTAAAAGTATGCAACAGTTCAAGAATAGGCAAGAATAGCTAAGAAGTAAAACTGGAGGCCTAAAATAGGCCTGAAAAGGGCCTTCTAGATGCCCAAACATTTGGTCCCCAACTCCCGACCTCTGATCTTCGAACTCTTACAAGTGACGTGTCGTATTTTTAACATGGAGCCCCTGAATGAGCAGTGGATGCACGATGATGTGTATATAACTGGATTTTCTCCCTCGACCGGGAACTGGAAGCGTCAGGCAGCAGCTGGCGGAGCTGGCTGGCGAAGCGTCAGGCTTGGCCCAACGTGTTCTCGGCGGTGTAGGTCATGTACAAGAAGCCATCTTCGGCTTTGTAGGCTTCGTAAAGTTCCTCGGCTTGATGATGCCTTCATGTGATTTGGTTTGTCACAAAGGTGGGAGCTGGATTTAAGGACGGGATCAAAGGGCATAAAGAAGGCGGCAAGCATTTTTTCAACCTGGAACCTTTATGAACTTTTGAGGTAAAGACAGGCTGCGTGCTCCAGAAACGAGGACGTGCTGCAAAAATTGAACCATTGAAACCATAAGCGAGATGTTTTTTCAACACACAACATACTGTTTCTCAGACATCGGCGGAACCCGTAAGAAGAGTGGCTGACATCGGCGCGCCCGTCTTGGTGGCCTTGTTGTTGGCCAAGAGGTAGATCACCTGAAAACGCATGGCAGATTTGACAGAGACTTGTTGAGAAACATCTCCGACACAGTCAGCAACCGACCTGGAGTTCAAGAATACCGCGCAAGATTTGAGTACCAGCACCTGTTTTCTAGGGCTCATGTCCCATTTCTTAGAGTCTAAGGTATCGGGTCCAGGTAAATCTGGACCTCAAGGACCAAGGATAGAGTCGCCAAGACTAAACCAGCACGCGCCAAACACACTCCTGCAAAAGCGCCAAGCTCGCGCCTCGCGATTCACGCGCCGCAAAAATCACTTGGTGCCTGATCGGAGGCGTGGTTGCCTTCCTGAGCATGCTGGATGTTGTTCAAGATAATGTACTTGAACCTGCAGCTCTCCCCGCGAGTCACTCCTCGTCCCCGTCTGGTCTGAGGCCTGATCGTTTGAATCCGGGAATGGCAGAAAACGAATGAATCGTAAACCGTTGCCCATGGAAACGCACTGATTAGGCACCTTTCTAAAACACACTCAGAATGACCATACATTTCTACATCTCATATCGTATGTACAATGTATATGTTTGTTTGTATTGAAATTGGATGAAATTGGAGGACTTAGCTATGCAAAACGCATTGGAGAGCTCCAACACCATCAATGAAAAGCATCCCGTCTCACACATGAGATGTTGACATTGCAAACTTGGCTACCTCGGCCGAAAGATCTGGCATCCGATATTGTGATACAAAACGTGCATGGCACACTCAGTCTCAAACAAACGTGCAAGCAAACGCCCGCCTTTGCGTGTTGTTCTTGGAAGTGTCAGCCGTCAAGTATCTATATATAGATAAGAAATGGAGTAAATACTTCAGAAAGGACCTTCGAACACCCAAACACAGCACACAGCAAAACCATCCAAAAACTATCGCTGAAGAAAACACACCGATGAAAGTATGGAACAACGAACATCTTGATCATCGTATTATCTTATCAAACATAAATCTGCAGCAGCACCCTTCGAATCTTGACACACCGCATCACGCTCACGCATCACGCTCCGCTTACGCGCTGCCAGGTCGCTCGTAGCACTGCATGGTCGAAGGCACCAAGAACTTCTTTCGCTCGATCTCTGGCAGGGTCGAGTTGGCTGCCCGCTCGCCTCCGTCGGGAAGGACCACAACGTTCCCGACGCTGACGTTTGCGCCCACTACCCTACCCCCTTTTCTTGGCATGCCGGCATCATCTGGCCATGTGGCATAAAAACAAGTGAGGCAGCAATACCATCACCATACATACCCCACCCACTACCCTACCCTAGTTCATCTCATGGCATTTTCATAATATCCACATGGCACGCACGCGGACTGCTGATCCACCACTGGTCGTTTCAGAGACGTGACTGCGTCTCTGTGAGCGACAAAACACCAAGAAGCCACCGAGGTGCAAATCACTGGGATACGATCAGGATATTTGTTCAGGATCCTCAGTGTAGACCATGTCAACGGGCGATGAAAATCATCAGTTTGATGGCCCAAAGGTGATGAAAAATAGACAAACCACAAGGACTGGGAGTAACTACCCATGATGCTTTTCACCCAAGTGCATGCTGATAGGATCATGAGGCTTTTCTTGGCATATGCTGGGATTGGGTTGCCTCCAACCTCGCAGGGACAGGCCAAGTCAAACAAGTCAACTTCCTTGTATACAGCGATCTTAAAGGCAACGTTTTGAGAGCATGCTCAAGATTCAGCATGGCAAATTCAGCTGGGAAAGAAACAAGTCATGCTGCAGTTCTGAGGAGAAGGTCAATGCATCAAGGTTAAGCAACTGGTCTGCAATTGCTGACATATACCACACCTCAAGTGACAATACAGAAGACTTTACCGTGACAAACAGGCCTGCAAGAACAAAAAACAAAACAACGTAGCTTACCATCATCAAAGAGAAACCTAGTTGCTTGCTATTCTGTTCGGTTTCTGTCCCTATGTCCTGCTGCGGTGGTTTCGGCAACCCAGCACCCAAAGATGTCTTAAACAAATGGGTTCATCTAAATCACCTAAATTGGACTCTTTGGGAGGTCAGGATGGTGCCTACATTGCCTACATCCACATCACATCCACCTCGCGTCCATCCACATCGGACGATTGACCAGTGGACCCCCCAACAAGTCCCTCTTCGAAGGCCGGTCCTCACCGGTGGCTCCGGTCGATCGGCGGGTCGGTGCCGAGGCCGAGGCGCTTGTTCGCTTCGGCGAAGCGCTTGTCAAATGGAACGCTCTGTTGGAGGCTTGGAACGCTCATCCGGTCGATCCTTGGTGCAGCCTGGAACGGGGACCAGAAGGCTTCCCAGGCATGGTGTGGGAGACAATATGTCAGGTGAAAAAAGCATGAAAAACCAACGGATGGTGAACCCTAATAATGATTGTATAAAGATTGATTCTCACCCCAGCCAGATTTAAACACTTTTTAAAGATGCTGTGCCATTGCTGGCTCCATGAAACATAACAACTAACTGATATAGTCGAGTCTACCTTTGAGCTTGATGACCGCTCTATCGCCACCACCGGTGTTTGGTTGACCGTCTGTCATTATGTTAAGAAGAATTGACATTGCTCATGGCAGCTTGATGGGGTACACAAGAAAGATCAAACAAGCAATGCCCTAGCCTTCCAAGATTCAAGAACAAAATAGATGTAGCATGATGTAGCTACAACATCCTGACATAAGACGATGGTCCGATGGTTGTTTTGTAAAGGCTACGAAGCTATTAACATCGATTGAATGGTGGTTGGATATCTGGGACATGTCTGACAGTTTGGACCTCTGGAAGTTGGAATAAAACGGAGAAGCCAACCATTGTAACATCCGCACTCACTCACACTTCAACGGTCAAATGACAACTGCCCACAAGCCCACCAGTTGGACCCCCTGTACTTTTTGAAAGATGAACCGAACAGGAAAGTCTGCCCTCTCATCCTTTCCATCCCACACCCGTCTGCCCTGCCGGGCAGAGCCTTCGCACTGTACAAGCTCCCGGCTGCGGTACGTCTACCCTCTTGGCGCGGAGTTCTCTTGGGGAAGGAGCGGGCACCAACCGAATCATCGAAAACCGGAAGACTGACTGATCGATTCACGAAGGGCTTCGAGGAACCCGACCGCCAGGTCGTGACCGATCCAATCAGGTCACGGATGGGACTTACAGAGCCCAATTGACCATTGTTGAAGAGCTACCATAGGCTACCCATAGGCTACTTCTAAGTCGCCACGGATCAAGATTCCGATTGTTTGCTTCCACGCAGAAGCTGATGACCGATCCACCCAGTGCAGGTAGCTTTGCCCGTCATGAGGCAGAAGCAAAGAAGCAATCCCTCCCTCCAAGAAATCGAAGTGGAACAGCTTCTTGCTCTGGAAACCGTGGCTGCCTGGAATCCCTTCCAGTGTGGGGGGACCAATTGGGAGGGCATCCAAGTCGTCTGCAGCACAGTACTATAGGTTTTAACATGAACATACTCCAGGCAATAAAAGTCTGCGTCGGCCTGGCCGTGGCGAGAACAAACGGCCCCATCCTGGCCGGTCATTCTCGTATCATGAGACCTCATAAGACGTCATGAGCTTGTTCTTGAGTCATGAGTCATGAGACGTCGGCTGCTCACTCAGCAAATTCCGTGTATAAATATATATATATATAAAAAACATAAATACATAGACTGAAGACAAGAGATGCCAGCAAAATGACACAAAACATGTCCATCCAATTCCCCTATGTTGCCCCCACTTTCCATCCTTCTGCCTTCCTGTCTTCATGCCCTTGAAAGAGTCTGCCTGTTCTGCCTGCTTTTCACAGCTGTCAGCTCCCGGCTCACATGCCTCTTTTTTGCGACTGATGAATAGCTATCGAAAGCTCGAAAAGAGGAAGGCCAGCGGTTGTGGAGACCGCTGGGCGCCATGTAAAAGACAAGGGGCACTGCAGATTCGCAGCTGCAGCCGAACGGCTCCTTTTCGTGTGATGTCGCAATGGTATGTAATAGTCAGTCGTTATTATGGCACCTGATGGCCATCTGCAAGAAACATCCTTGGACATCTTGTGACTTGTCGGACCATTTTACAATATCTGGCTACGTCGCCGCAGCTCGACCCACATCGCTCTGCACGGCTGATGTGTGCCCCGGCTTGAGCGCTGTTCCATCGACCGTGGACAAGGACTTCCAGGCAGCCTGGAATGGCTGAGAAGTCCCATGGCTTTCCCGACTGTACTCTCACAGGTCGGCCATGTGGCTTCTAGAGGTAGGGCAGATGGACCTGGACTGGACTGGACCTCATCGTTGGGACAGATTTTTCGGGGTTAAAGGGACCAAAACATCCACAGGATTCCACGGTTTTCACCTCTAAGGCCCAAAACTCTGGATATTTCCAGCTGTAAGATGTTCCTTTCATCCTTTAAAACCGCTTGAGAGTGACGGAACAATGAGATATACATAATGGTAGTTAAAGGACATGGCCATGGCTGTCCCTCTAAGTTGCTGAGAGTTCTAAAGCTTCTATAGAAGGGTGGGTGTCCGCATAGCTGAGAAGGGAAGTGGCCAGCTACTTCTATAGGTCTTCCTATGATTTCCTATGAATCCGCACCTATCGAATGAACCAAGGTTGAACTAAGGTTGACTCCTCAAGATGCCTTTCTGACATCTTTGCCCTTAGGCATCAGGCATCTTGAGTTGAAGGTAGCCAACTCATTCACGCACATGGCTTGGCAATGGGTACTTCATTGCGGGGGGCATCCTTGTGCCCTCCTCTGCCCTTTCCTCCAGAGCTGCCCCAGTTGATCTGAATTCAAAGGCGGAAGATCTCAGATCTACAGGATTGCAACGGCTTCCCCGACTCGAGAAACGTTCGATCAAGGAACAATTGGAATCATGCAAGAATCAATGACAACAAGAAAACATATGAAAACATAATGAACACACATAGCACAACATGGGGATGTTGTGGAATGTTCATCTTGGCTGCTTGTTGCTTTGGTTTTTTAGCATTTCCGAGGGGCCGCTGATCCAACAGTTACGCCAGTGACACTCTCAAAGTTGTTCCGACAAACTTCAGAGTGCTACACTCAAACCCAGCACCAGGTGACGGCACCCAAGAAAATGCAGCAACACTATTCCTGAGCATTTGGATACATGCATATACCCTTACAGTCACTTGTAATAATTGGCCAATTGCACCTCTCTTGCCGGGTCAAACTACCATAAACTACCCATCCAATCAAACAAAGGGGTTCGACATGAAATAACTTCGGATGTGTTGATGATTGTGTTGACCAACATCTTTGGCACATTCCTCCAACCAATAGCCAAACACAGGCTGGCTACCCTTGACATGCTTACAGGTGTGCTTGGATGTGTTTGCTTTGGTGCCGACAGGTTCCCAACCCCTTCAGGTTCCCCATCCCTTCGACCGCCTTTCGGTGGGCGTCGCACCGGTCGTAGCATGAGCGACGGCGCGTACATCTTCTCCCATTTTCGGTGTTGATGATTCATGGCTTCTGGCTGATTCCCAAAAGGCTGTCTAGTAAGACCCGGGGTGTTTCTTTTCGGTGCGGATATCATTCCGATGTAATCTTGGAGTCATGGAATGTCATGGATAGTCATGGCACCAGGATACGTTGGGGGCCTTAAGGTTCACCTACCTGGGAGGTGAAGCATGGTGAAGCTATATGGTGGACCAGGGCTAACTGTTTTGACCCGTCTCCAGACTCACCCTCGGCTGGTTGCTACTGGCACTGCTTCGTCCTGTGACCCTGCAAGACCCAGTTTAAACGGAAAAAATGCAAAGCCAACTGCACATCTCTATGAGCCATGTTAGCATTGTGCTAGCATTGTCTTTGGCCTATATAGTTTGCCTTCTTTTCTTCCGGCAGCGTTGATTGACGGCTGAATACTGGAATCCTACAAAGGGTCGATTCTTGATTCAACCGGAACAACACATTACACCAATGATTTCCAACACAACGTTGAGAAGATGTGGTGCCCATCCAGCCATAACAGTAGGTAGCCAATATTGAAATACACAAGACCAGGTCGTCTCACGTATGCTCCTTGACGAGTAATTGCTATGAAATACTTGAACTTCTTGCACCCCTTGGGGCATGTCCTCATCTACTGGCCCATAAATAGGCAGAATGCATCTATAGATTAGTATTAGTATTGTATAAGCATAAGTTATAAAGTATATATATATATATTGTCTAGGGCCACCAATTCAGCGTTCAACTGGAATTTCCAAGGCTCATGGCGTCACCCTTGAGACATGGGTTCATCTCACAAGGAGGAATCTCCTTGAAGCCTGTCAAAAATAAATTTACATAGCTTCTTGTTACTACTAGTAAGGCACTTGTTACTACTAG